TTTTTTGTCTGTATTTTCCATGAATTTGTCTATTTTTTCCTCATGTTTGTCAGCTTTTTGCCTCAGTTCTTGGAGAATTCTGAGTATTAGAGATTTGAACTCCCTATCAGGTATTTCTAGTGCATATTCTTCCACAGGATGGTCATCTGGTGTTTTATTTTCGACGCCTACTGGAACCATCCTGTCCTGTTTTTGTAAATGTTTTGATATTGTCTGCCGTCTTCAGGGTATTCAGTAGTTATTTTCTCGTTTATTGACTGTAGATTTGTTAGTTTCGTCCCTTTTTTTTGTTTTTTTACATTTGAGTATGTCTGAGCAGGCGGACTGTGTGTTCTTTGTTGTTTGCTCATCTATGGGCACAATACTTTTGCCTCCTTCTCCAATTGGCAGTGTCGGTCACTCAGTTATGGTACAGCAGGACAGGTCTAGCTGAAGAGGAGTCACTGGGACCAGCTGTTTATGGCACTTACTACAGCCACCAGAGCGGGTCGGTAATCAGTATAGGGCAGGTTCCAGTAGGCTATTCCTGTGCTGCTTGGTGGTGTGATGTCAAGCGCATGGTGCAGGTAAGCGGGATGCAGTAGGGAGATTGTCATGTGTGGAGCTAAGATGGATATGGGAGAGAGGAGAGAGGAACAGGAGCCAAAAACATACAAACAAACAAAATAGAATGCTAGGGGAGCTTGCCGTTGGAATGGAGAGATGAGAGACTATGAAATGGAGAAAAACAGAAAGGGGAAGAGGAAGAAAAGAAAAGAATGACTAAATAAAAATCGGAAAGGTTAATGAACCGCAAAGTTCCCAGGGATCCCACCGGTGCAGCTATGAGGTCTGGGGGAGTCGCTGTCAGGTGTTGCAGTACAGCCTGGCTAGAAGGCGTGGAGGTATTCAACACCAGGTGTTCAGGGATCAGAAAGAGAAGGAAGATATAGAGAGATGAGAAACTGAGCAATGAAGAAAGACAAAAAGGGAAAAAGAGGGAAAACAAAACAAAAGAAATTAAAAAGAAAGGCCCCCAAAAAACAGAAAAAAAAAAAACCAGTGAAAAAAGAAATGCTCTCAGGAATCCCTCTGCACGTCTGTGCAAGCCGAGGGGGAGTGTCCTTGCCACCCAACTCTGCCTGACCAGATTGGGCTCCCAACTGAAGAAAAGGAAAAGAAAACAAAGAAACTATTCAAAACAAACAAACGAACAAAAGCCCCGGGATCCCACCAGCGTGGCAGCCCAGACCGGGAAGCAGCTCCACCCTCGAATGGAGCTCTGCAGCTCCTCAGGAAGAAGGAAAGATGGCTCACGGAGCCAGGTACTTGAGCAAAAGGAAGGGGAGGTGGCGAGAGGCAAGGAAGAAATCAAAAGAAGCAGAAAAATCAAGGAACACTAGCAGCCAGCAAATGGCACTCAGAGAGCCAGCTAGTGCGGGCTGGTGTTTTTGGACAAGAGACTGTGTCCACGGGAAGCAGAGGGGACCGAGTGTGGGTGAAGAAGGGTAGGGAGTGGGAAAGCATATATCACAAATCACCGGAGCTCTGCAGCCTCTCAGGAAGAAGCAAAGATGGCGCACAGAGCCAGGTACTCAAGCGAAAGGAGGGGGAGGTGGCAAGAGGCAAGGAAGAAATCAAAAGAAGCAGAAAAAAGCAACACCAGCAGCCAACAAATGGCACTCAGAGAGCCGCCTGTTTAGGTGTGTGGAATCCAAGCAGCCGATGTTTCCCGGTCAAGAGATTGTGGCCGCAGGAAGCAGAGGAGGCAGAGTTGGGGTGAAGAAGGGTGGGCAGTTGGAAAGCATATATCACAAATTACCAGTTGTTTTGTCTCCCGCTGGACGCCCCGTGAGGCTGCTTTCTTGTACCCTGTTTGCTGGTCTCCAATAGGAGTCCAAGATGGCGGATCCGCGCTGCGTTAGCTGGTAGGGAACCTCTGCATGAATCTCTCCTTGCTGTCTGTTCTCTGTCAGTTTTCACTCCATTTGGTGCTTGGCTGAGTTCTTTATCTCTTTATTTGATGTTTTAGGGTTTCAGGATTGTTGTATTCTCTGTTCAGCTTAGTGTTTTCGGATCTTTGCTGTGGAGGGACGGCGTGGTGCTTCTGCCTAGAGCGCCGTTTTGCCCAGTCCAAAATTTCCACCTTTTAATTGCTGAAGTTTAGTACTGTTGTTCGCTTTTGCCCTTTATGCAAAATTTAACATGAGAACGAAGTGGAACATTCCCCCAGATAAGCTGTGTTTGGTGCTCACAAACTTGATTGTCTTCCTCTCTTGCAATAATGGTTGGAATTACTTAAAAGAAAGGGGGAATTGCCTTTTACTGAGACACTATTATCACAGTTGTTTATGTCAGAGACAATGTCCTTGTCTCTTCTCCTATCTTACAACCGTTTCAGTCCTCTCCCCTGTCTACTTCCCCTGCTCACCCAGCCCATCAAGAATGGAACCCTGTTTGTGTCGATCTAGCTATTGATGTTAGTAATAATTAGTACTTGGAAAAATAACCAATTATAGTTTAAAGGAGCAATTGTGTTATTGCTTCTCTTGATCCCAGATTCAGTGTTTCAGTGAGAAACGTAAATGCATGTACTTAACCCTGAGTCAACCAGAGTAGGAAGCAGTGAATACAACACTCACTGTGTGGGTGCCACCCTCTGACATCACAGCCATGTCTCTTCTTACAAATAACACATAAGTAATCAGAGCTCTGTATTGCCTTATTACCTAGAAGTGCCTGCTATTTGTCAGAGATAAAGTCATTATGATTCATTTCCTTCCATGACATCTGTCATTCCTCCTCTTCCTTTGCCAGTTTCCGGTTTCATCCATGCCCTTTCTAACCCACTTGACTATCCATGTTCATCCATCATAGTTTAAATTACAGCCTCTGGCATTGGCTCCCCTGAACTGAGACTCACTGTGGAAAAAGTGGATGGATTAGGTTCTCCCATGTGGCCCCTGCATCCCTGGCCTGACCCAGTTTTCTGTGGGTGCTTTGAAAAATATTTACTATGTACATAGTGCTTACTATGCACCAAGCAGTGTTCTCATCAAAAATGAGATGGGTGCTGTTATCACCTCCATATTACAAATGAGGAAACTAAAGTTCAGCAGAGTTGTTTCTTGCTCGTGGACACATGGCTAGCAAATAGTAGAGCAAAGATCTGACCCAAGGAGTCTGTCTCTAGGGTTTGAGCTGTTAACCATTAAACTTCATGGTTCTCAACTGGTGGTTTACCATGATCATTGAATATAATAGTGATAGATCATAGAATTGAAAAATGAGATGGAAAAATGCCCATTTACATGTGAGAGAGACTTGCCCCTTTAATTCCTTGGCCAGATTAAGCATTGTGGTGACAGAAAAGTAGACAGGTGAAGAAGGTGGAAGTTTGGATACAAAAATGAAAAAGTATAGGAAGAACATTTTGGCAAGGGAAAAAATAAATGACATAATTAAAGATTTTAACTGTCATGAGCAGTGCAACCAATAGAGAATTCAAGCGTTCAAGGCTGTTGATCCCGCTCCTTTGAAATACTATGATGCTCAGAAGTGAGGATTTGGGGGAAGACTTGACAGAATTAGAACTGTTAAATGAAGAGATGTGATACTGGAAGGAAGGACAAAAGCTCATGAAAGAATCATGAGGGACCCATACATTCTATTCTCTGTTCTAAGAAGATGACAGCTTATCGTTTGAGTCCTAAGCCTACTTAACTAAGCTTGGAGTTGATAAAACAGCAGATTTAACTTATCACATTCAGCTGCATTTGTTAAAACACAGAGATTCATCTTGGGTGGCTCTGTAGCTGGGTTTGTTTTCACTGAAATAAAATCCCTGGCACATGACAATGGAAAAAAATCATAATATGCAGTGTACTGTTTTTTATGCTAGAGAATTTTGAGTGCTTTGGAAATAATAAATCTGTTTCCACAATTTCCCACTCTCCACTAGGTTCTTGGAACACCAAATGAGGACACATGGCCTGGAGTTCATTCTTTACCACATTTTAAACCAGGTATGTTCCATTAATTACACATGCTTAAGTGCTTTCTACATGCAAAGAGTGAATATGTAAATGTTCCCCCTCAAGCTAATACATTACCTCAAAGAAATTCTGGTTACTCTTGCAGTTGTGTATTCTGTGTATTAGTGGAGTTGCCCTTTCATTATCAGAATTTATTTGCTTGTAAGGACAGGGTAGTCCCTGGGTGGTGCAGGCAGTTAAGCACTGGGCTGCTAACCTAAAAGTTGGCAGTACCAGTCCACTCAGAGGTGCTTTGGAAGAAATGCCTGGTGGTCTACTTCTGGAAAAATCAGCTGTTGAAAACCCTATGGAGCACAGTTCTACTCTGACACACATGGGGTCCCCAAGAGTAAAAATCAACTTAAAAAACTTTTTTTTATTATTTAAAAAAGATAAAGTTAAGGGCATCCCTCATGAGAGATTTTCACCATATGTACTTTGTTTAATTTGACCAGCTAATCGTGAAATAGCCATTCATTTCCTCATGAGGTAGACCAGCATCTGTGTAGATAAAAACAAAATTTAAATTGGTATTACAATCCATCTGTGTGACTTCCTGTAATAAAACGAAGAAAAACATTAAATTATAAAAAGAAAAACATCAAAATTTGATTTCCTTTTTATAAAACTAGTACTGTATGGTCAGTTAATTTGAGCTCAAAGATGTAAATATTCTGAATGCCCTATTATGCAGCATTCAATCCTTTTTTAATGTGAAATATTTAAAATCCAAGGAAATGGAAAACCCAAGGAAAATGTGGAACTTTAAAACCAAGTTGTCACATTTTTCCCGGTCAGTAGGTGGCAGTCATGAAACTTGCAGTCTTAATAATTGCACTGAATAGAAGAGGAGTCTCAAAAACAGTTTAATTTTTATAGGAGGGTTGAAAGGTTTGGAATTGGAAATTTAATAAAATCATTGGAATGATTTCTTATAAAATAATTCTGTTGTTGGTTGTTTTTTCTTCTCATGGTTACAAAAAAATGGATTATGAAATGCAGACACACCATAAAATTATTGAAAGGAATTTTATGGAAGGGCTAATAGTCCATTATTCTGTGAGGGAAATGGATGATGACTAATTTCTGTGAGGGGAGCCAAGTATATTCTCTTTCTCCCCTTCCCTTCTTTGGGGGACTATCAGAATAAATTATCAATCCTGAAGAATGACTGAGTTGGGAAGCTATTTTTATTCTTAATATTTTTCTTCTTGAAGTGTACAGTGTGCTGAGAATTTTTTTATCCTCCTCTGGTTCCAGGAAGACTCTTTGTACTTTTACTGAAAGTTCTAAATGACTTCAGTGTCCTAAAAGACTACAAAAATTTAACTTACAGGAAGTTTGTTGTTTTAAACCAAGAAAAAGGCATCTTCTAACTGATCCACTTGTTCCTAATGGAGTCTAAGTGAGAAACACAGCTCTTTATAAATGTTCTAAATGTGGTCTGTTAAAGAATATTAGCTTCCCTGTCTTAAGATCTTAAGTCCTAAGGAAAAAAAAAAGAGGAAAACGTGGAAAAATTTTAAGTGCATAAAGTGAGATGCAGAAAGGAACAATTAAGCAATCATTTGGTTGGCCAAGTTTCTGTACTAGAAAACATGGAATAATTTGTTTATTTTAGTGTGAATAGAATTCATCTTCACCAGCAACATACAAAACCATTTGTTACTGTGTTCTGGAAAGTACTATCATGCACTGCAGATTAAGCTAACTTGTGAACTTCGTGAGACCAGGGGTGGTGCATATGTGGTATTCAATAAATGTTTGTTGATGTCTATTACATTGACATTATTTATGTGACATTGTTTATATGACTTCTGGTAGACACATATAATTTAAGATACATTATGTTATATTATTAATACTATGTATAAGCACCACTCAGAAACCCTGGTGGTGTAGTGGTTAAGCACTACAGCTACTAACCGAAAGGCTGGCAGTTTGAATCCACTGGGGAGGCGCTCCCTGGAAACCGTATGGGGCAGTTCTACTCTATCCTATAGGGTCGCTATGAGTCGGAATCGACTCAGCAGCAAGAAGTTTGGTTTGTTTGTTTTTAATTGTGCTTCAAGTGAAAGTTTAGAGTTCAAGTCAATTTCTCATACAAAAATTTATACACACATTGCTATGTGACCCTAGCTGCTCTCCCTGTAATGTGACAGCACACTCCTCCTTTCCACTCCGGATTTCCCATGTCCATTCAACCAGCTCCTGTCCCTGTTTGCCTTCTCATCTCACCTCCGGATAGGAGCTACCCATTTACTCCTATGTATCTACTGGAGCTAAGAAGCATTCTCTTCACGAGTATCATTTATGTCCCATAGTCCAGTCTAATCTTTGTCTGAAGAGTTGGCTTCGGAAATGGTTTCAGTTCTGGGCTAACGAAGAGTCTGGGGGCTATGCGTTCTGGGGTCCCTCAAGTCTCAGACCATTGAGTCTGGTCTTTTTAATAGAATTTGAGTTCTGCACTCCAATTTTTTCCTGCTCCATCAGGGACTCTCTGTTGTGTTCCCTGTCAGGGCGGTCATTGGTAGTAGCTGGGCACCATCCAGTTCTTCTGGTCTCAGGCTGTTGAAGTCTCTGGTTTATGTGGCCCTTTCTGTCTCTTGGGCTAATATTTTCCTTGTGTCTTTGGTGTTCTTCGTTTTCCTTTGCTCCAGGTGGATTGTAACCAATCGATGTATCTTAGATGGCGGCTTGCTAGCTTTTAAGACCCTAGACGCCACTCACCAAAGTGGGATGCATAACATTTTCTTAATAAAGTTTGTTCTGCCAGTTGACTGAGATGTCCCCTGAAAGCATGGTCTCCAGACCCCTACCCCTGCTACTCTGTCCCTTGAAGTGTTTGGTTGTATTCAGGAAACTTCTTAGGTTTTGGTTTAGTGCAGCTGTGCTGACTTCCCTGTATTGTTTGTTGTCCTTCCCTTCACCTAAGATAATTCTTATCTACCATCTAGTTAGTGAATAACCCTCTCCCTCTCTCCTCACCCTCATAACCATCAAAGAATGTTTTCTTCTGTGCTTCAACCATTTCTTGAGTTCATATAATAGTGGTCTCATACAATATTTGTCCTTTTGCAACTATTTTCACTCAGCATAATGCATTCCAGACTTACCCGTGTTATGAGATGTTTCACAGATTCATCGTTGTTCTTTATCGTTGCGTAGTATTCCATTGTGTGAATATGCCATAATTTGTTTACCATTCATCCATTGATGGGTGCCTAGGTTGTTTCCATCTCTTTATTATGGTAAACAATGCTGCAGTGAACATGGGTGTGCATATATCTATTCGTGTGGTGGCTCTTATTTCTCTAGGATATATTCAAAGGAGCAGGATTGCTGGATCATATGGTACCTCTATTTCTAGCTTTTTAAGGAAGCGCCAAATCAATTTCCAAAGTGGTTGTACCATTTTACATTCCCACCAGCAGTGTATAAGTGTTCCAGTCTCTCCACAACCTCTCCGGCATTTATTATTTTGTGTTTTTTGGGTTAATACTAGCCTTGTTGGGGTGAGATGGTATCTCATTATAGTATTGATTTGCATTTCTCTAATGACTAATGATCGTGAGCGTTTCTTCATGTGTCTGTTAGCCACCTGAATATCTTCTTTGGTGAAGTGCCTGTTCATATCCTTTGCCTATTTTTTAATTGGGTTATTTGTGTTTTTGTATCTTGTAGATTTATCTTGCAGATTTTAGAGATTAGACGCTGATCGGATTTGTCGTGGCCAAAAATTTTTTCCCAGTCTGTAGGTTGTCTTTTGACTCTTTTGGTGAAGTCTTTTGATGAGCATAAGTGTTTGATTTTTAGGAGCTCCCAATTATCTAGTTTCTTTTCCTGTGTTTGTGCATTGTTACTTATGGTTCCTATTCTGTTTATGCCATGTATTAGGGCTCCTAGCGTTGTCCCTATTTTTTCTTCCATGGTCTTTATCATTTTCAATTTTATGTTTAGGTCTTTGATCCATTTTGAGTTAGTTTTTTTGCATGGTGTGAGGTATGGGTCTTGTTTCAGTTTTTTGCTGATGGATATCCAGTTATGCCAGCACCATTTGTTGAAGAGACTGTCTTTTCCCCAGTAAATGGACTTTGGACCTTTGTCAGGTATCAGCTGCTCATAGGTAAACGGATTTGTGTCAGCATTCTCAATTCTGTTCCATTGGTCTATGTATCTGTTGTTATACCAGTATCAGACTGTTTTGACTACGGTGGCAGTATAATAGGTTCTGAAATCAGATAGTGGGAGGTATCCCACTTTGTTCTTCTTCAGTAATGCTTTACTTATTTGGGGCCTCTTCCCTTTCCATATGAAGTTGGTGATTTGTTCCTCCATCTCATTAAAAAGTGCGATTGGAATTTGGATCCGGATTGCATTATATCTGTAGATCACTTAGGGTAGAGTAGACATTTTCACAATCTTGAGTCTTCCTATCCATGAGCAAGGTATGTTTTTCCACTTATGTAGGTCTCTTGGTTTCTTGCAGTAATGTCTTGTAGTTTTCTTTGTATATGTCTTTACGTCTCTGGTTAGATTTATTCCTAAGTATTTTATCTTCTTGGGGGCTATTGTAAATGGTATTGATTTGGTGATTTCCTCTTCGAAGTTCTTTCTGTTGGTGTAGAGGAATCCAACTGATTTTTTGTATGTTTATGTTGAATCCTGATACTTTGTTGAAATTTTCTCTTAGTTCCAGCAGTTTTCTTATGGATTCTATGGGGTTTTCTGTGTATAAGATAGTTTCATCTGTGAATAGGGATACTTTTAATTCTTCCTTACCAATTTGGATGCTCTTTATTTCTTTTTCTAATCTAATTGCTCTGGCTAGGACCTCCAGCATAATGTTAAGTGAGAGTGGTGATAAAGGGCATCCTTGTATGGTTCCTGTTCTCAAGGGCAATGCTTTCAGACTCTCTCCATTTAGGATGTTAGCTGTTGGCTTTGTATAAATGCCCTTAATTATACTGAGGAATTTCCTTTCTATTCCT